AGAAATAAACTGTTGTTCCTTGTCAAGTAATAAACTGTTGGTCCTTCTAAAATAGTGAACTGTTGATCCTTCTGAAATATAAATTGTTGGTCATTTTTAAATAGTAAACTGTTGATCTTTTTGAATTAGTAAACTGTTGATCCTTCTTAAGTGGTAAACTGTTGATCCTTCTTTAATAATAAACTGTTGGCCCTTCTTATGTCATAATTTGTTGGTCCTTCTGACATTGTAAACTGTTGGTCATTCTGATATAATTACAGTATTTCAGTCATCTGTCCTTCATTTGTCGTTATTCTTTCAGACCTGTAATTTTACAGTTGTTGCGTGTTATCTGTTGTTATTGTGGAAGTGTTTTGATCGAAATTCTTTAATTAATTATGTTCTTATTTTCAGTAATTCCAATACTTTGTGCTGATATATCATGCCATTTCTTATAAGCTAAATTATTTTTTTAATTTCTCTCAATTTAAATTTTTAACATTCAATCTTTCCGTTCAAATAATTAATTTTTTGCAGTGAAAATGTTTCCATTTTTCACAAATTTTTATGTTATGCAAATATCCTTCTACAGTCATATAAATATAAGCGTTTTCACGTTATTTACGTTCATTTCTATTAATATTCGGTTCTAAATTGTCAAGTACTAACACTTAAAATGTTAAGGCGTCTGAAGCAGAATGTTATGGTCAAGTTGGAAATGGCCAAGCAAACTGAGTTCGTCGTTGATTTATTGATGCTTTCTCAGATGAATCAATGTTGTAATCCTTCATCTCTCACTCTTGTCTGTTTCGTTATTTCTTTGACACTTTGATGGTATTTCTGAGAGTCAAGTCATCGGATTTTGCCTGAATCCCAACTTTTGATCTAACTGTTCGAGTTTATTTTGTCCTTTGATGTACCGCTTGGTAGTACTGAACTGTCTTTATTATTCGGCATACTGAGAAATCTATCACGACAACCAATACGAAATGGTTTAAAGATTTCCAGAAGATGTTGTTCGCATAATAGATTTCTGTGATCATAGCAAAGTCGATGTTACTGCAATCGCAAAAGCGGCAGAATTGATGATTTCAAATTTCAAATCGATTGGTATGACCCCGTCTGATGCATTGGTTAACTCTTGCGCTGCCATGTCAACAAAATCAAAAAATAAACACGTAATATTTCTGGCCAAATGTCAAATCTTCGTTTTTAGAACTTCTTGAAATTTAGAATAGTTATACTACGCCAATTACTTTGTATAATTTTTTTCAGTTCAAATCTGTAATGCAGAATGTTCAAGAAGTAATAGGCGAAATCGCAAAGGTGGAACGTTCTACTGCAGAACGAGTATTTTTTCAATTTTTAACTTTAAAATATAATTTCAAAAATGAACTCAAATAATTGACCACAAAAGCATCATTAGTAGTGCAATAGAGAATGCCTATTTTTTGAATATTCCTTCTATAATTCAGAATTCTAATTACATCGAAATATTCCTGAAGTTCAACCACAGATCTTCAAACAACAGTCATAATTTAAAGTTCTACAATATTGCCCACAAAAATTAGCTTAGTTTTACAACCGCGCTCTTTGTAACTGATAGAACTTTGTAAAAACATATTTTCCTTATCAAAATAGAAATATGGATGATTCAGAAATTTATTAATGTTCAGAAGTGTAAGAGATGTCCTTTAGCCATGTTTCAGAAATGTAGGCATTAATTAGAGTAATTTTGAATATATTTTATTGTCTGTTATTAGCAGCTACATTATCACATACGGTTATCAAATCTAGATATACGACCTTAAGAGTAGATCATTAATAATTTCTGATCATTTATCATTTTAATTTTGATAAAGATGTTTTATCAGTTTTGTATACTTGATTACTTCAAAATTGAATATATTTTTTACAGATAGAAACAAGTTTTCTTGAATCTTGGGCAAAAGTATGGCTAAAGGAGGATTTGAAAAATTATTTAGACGATATTGATGAACTGAAGAAGAGAAGACTTGATAAAGATGGTTTAGCTCAATCTGCTTGCAAGTAAAACTTTGCAAATTTCAAATTACATATATGTAATCTCAACAAAATTCTGAATCTTTTAGTATACTTACGACAAATTTTAATATTTTCCAAAAACTGTAATTCTTAATATTCCTATTTTACGTTACAACAGCATGCTTACAACAATTATGAGAATATACTCTGTTGACTGTTACTTGTATTCACCATTCTTATATAGAGTAAACCTCTTCCCATACTTCAGCTATCCATCTTTAATACTTTGACCCCACGCGGTTTTTATGACTGCCAGCTGAATGTACTGTAATTTTCAATACTTCACAACTCCATTAATACCACAGCTTATGCTGCGTCTATTTCTTACAGTAGCTTGCGATATTTTTATTTTATTCTATATGTTGATGGGCAATATTACTATTGTGAAGTCAAATTTACTTTCTTGCCTGTGCTATCGCTACTGATACAATGTTGACAAGTTTACTCTATTCTGTGTAGGAATAGTGACAAGTAATAGTCACACAACTAGGCTATAAATTGAAGGTGAAACTTTTAAGCGTGAGAAGTTCTTTCTCACACAAAAATTTCACCCTTGACACTGTCATGGGTCACACCTGCTGCTATAACTTCTTAACATTCCTTGAAGTTCTCATCTTGTATTTAACTGCTGCTTATCCTATCTATCTGCATGACTACTGAAAAGGTCACACTGTCAAAGGAAGCCGTACACTGATTGCATATTATCTGGTGACCTCTCAAAGAATACAAGAAAGGTTTTCTTAACCTTACAATGACATGCGCATTATACAATATTTAACTGCATATATAATCCAGTGATCTAGTAAAGGTCTTGCTAGAAATGATCTAGCAATCTACGAAAGTTTTTCAAAAAACTAAATAGCAGAAATTTTTATAATTTTTAAATAATAGAAAAGAAATTGGGTGACCAACAATCTGTTTATACTGATCAAAAAATTAATATCTATAAAATGTTTATCTGATAATTACGAGAGGAATATCTTACCAATGTTAGCCTATCAAACTTTTTGCACATTTTCTAGAATTTCTTTCAAGTACGGGCTATCAATGAGTTTTGTGCTAAATAACTTAGTAAGTTATTTGCTTTTATTACAGTAATTGTCTGGTAGTATTGAAAAATCTCGATACCGTTATTATTACTTTGATAACTTTTATTCAAACGTTCTCAACTACTTTTAAACTTACAAGCGAATCTCAAATTGGGATTTAACTTTATCATATTTTTGAGCTCTTTTTAGCCCTAGATATTTATTTCATTACAGAAATCTATTTTAATTTTTTCAAAATTATTGCTAGCATAAGTTCATCTTAATTCTTTGAAAAATTGTTTCAAATTAATTTAAATATCTTATTTAAACTTAAACTATTTTCATTGCTCTATATCTTAAAGATTGTTCATAACTCAAAGCTAACATCTATGCTATCCTATAATGCATATAGTAATGCTTGAAACTGTGATACGATTTATAGCATACAAATTTAATTCAATTCATTGAGAAAAAAAATTAATACAAGCAATGAGCTCAGAGTAACAGATATGTTGTAACTGAAATAAAGTTTCAAAGAAGAGGAATGGATCAAGCGAAGATCAGGTCATTTTTGAACAGAAATGATCTGAGAGCTAAAATCCCACCTTATATACTGTGATCCTCCGCATGCCTCTTCCCAATTTCTTTGCACTCTCTTCAATTATCCATATATTATTTTTATCTTTGACGAGTACGGCTTAAAGCAGATAGTAATGACCTATCAAGAAACAAAAGAATATCTGGTGACCTCATAAAAAAACGTGAGATTTTCGACCTGATAAGACAAATAAGAATGAAGTAATGTAATAATAAGACTTGTTTAAAAAATCATAATATGTTTTTTCATAAAATAATTATGAAAAGTTAGATGGTATTATTACAAATTTTTGTACAATTAAAAATTATTAAAATTTTTATTTATGATCGCTTTTATTTTCAATTTTATGCTAATAATAATTATAATTTTCTGTTTATTATTTTTTCCTACTTATTTACTGTTTGTATTTAGTTTACTTACATAATGTAATTCTAAACAAATACCAAATCTTTACAATTTGATTTTTTCAATTTAAGCTTGTTACATTTGATTCTAATACCATTTTTGATATTGTTTTTGCAGCATTTAAATTTATATTCAGATTTAGCAATATCTTCTTTTTCATAAATTCCATTTCTTCATTGCAATTTACTTTTTATGCACTAATTCTTCATCGTTTGTTTATATTTATTTATGCTTTAAGTAATTTTAAGCACTTATATTTGTCACTATTCGCTTACTAATTAATAATAATGATAATAATCAATAATAATCAATAATAATATGAGTTTACTAAAATTAATAAAATTAATTAGAAATCTTAGTTATCTTAATTAAAAATATACTTTCAGACATCCAGACGATGAAAGCAAGCAGGAAAAAAGTAAAGAAGCTACCACACATTATGAGGAGCAGTTGAAGAAAGTAAAAGATGATGCTCAAGAATTTCCTCTACATTACAAGAAAACAGCTAAAGAAACTAATAATTTGCTTAAATACATGGCTGATCACTTTGATTCATGTGCTGAAAGAACCAAAAAACATCTTCAAAAAGCAAAAAATGGCTCAAATTGAAGAAATTTATGAATAAATATTGAAATTTGCGCAAAAGCATTACTCAAACATGAAGGAAAATAGTTTTTTTTCCAGCAAAATTATATTTCTAATCAAAATTAAATTAATTTAACAGTAAAACATTTTGTAGCTCGAAAATAATAAACAAATTTGTAATGCAAAAATAATAAAACATTGATAGAAAATGATAAAAAACATCTGCTATTTGATGAACTTATCAGTCAGCTTGCTATTGGATAAATCTAAAATATTATTTGAAAAAATCAGTTACAGAAGTTAATACTTATTGGTTTTAACAGTTTTTTAAATCAGTTTAAGATGTAAAAGATGGTTAGATAGTGAAATGCAATGATTTAAAGCCTTGGATAGAAAAATTTTTATTACTGATATATCGAACTGTAATACATTTTTGATGATTTGGGTACATGAAAACTAATAAAGCTTATTTAAAACTGATTCATGCTGACATATATAGCTCTTTTGACAGTAGATGATGTTAAAAATCTAAATAAGTTAATTCAAAAATTTCTATTTTCAGGACATAAATACTTTAATTTGAGAAAAAGTAAATTGCTCGCATTCAATACAATAAGTATTTATTTCTAAAACTAAATTTTTTACAAGAATTGTTCTACAATGCTCTAAAAAGCATAACTGAGGATCTTTTGTACGTGTAATATAATATCCAAATTAGGTATCTCAATTGACATTTAACCTTTGAAGTATAAACATGGCGCTTGCCGAAGTTTATTTATGATTATAATTTACATGACAAGAGCGCAACAGAGTTCGCTGCTTTTCGCTGATTTTTTGATTTGAATTGTTGCAAAAAGAGTTTTTTTTCAAATAGTTTTGCGATGTTTTAAAAAACATTGGATGTGCAACATTTATTTCAAGACCACATATCATACATTTTGTGAAGAAAAAAAACACGGAGAAAGTCAGAAAGTTAAAAATCCTCTTTATCATCATGCAATAAATACGGTAACATGGTTTAGCGATGTTCTAAAAAGCATATTTAAGTCATTTCACGAACATGGCCTTGCTATTTTCAGCTTTCCAACTGGAAGAATACCTCAAAACAGAGTTTAATCTCTTTCTAGAGCACGAATTGGATTATTTGTAACATATCATATCATATCATATCACATCATACCATACCTTAAATGAAGTTCCATTTTCAGTAGAACTATGAAGTTTTAGTTTGAGCTCTCTTTCGAATATTTGATATAAAAGTTCTTCATAATCCCTTCTAATGGCCAACTTTATTTCTTAGTGGTTAGTGTTATTCTTGATTACAATCGCAAATAAGACTAACACATTTAAAATACCACCGATTATGACTGTAATGTGAAACTAGCTTCCAAAATCAATATTAAATGAGAAATCCCCAAATATCAACAAAAAAGTTCACTTTCAGTAATCCAATTTTTTGTCTATGATTCTACACTTTTGTATGATTCTAAACTTTTTTATACTCTAGTAGTAATACATTACTGCAATAACACGTAAGTTTTATTGTTAAGTAAGTCTTTTAGATCATTTCATTCAAATTCAGTTGATTAATTTTACTTAAAATCTTGTATGATCTTTTATTGATTGCAAATTTACTAGTTTGTGTACAAGTAAATTTAAAGATAATTTAAAAATAATTTTAAAAATGATACTTTCTTCATTTGTGCATTTTGAACAGTTAATATTGTTGAAAGAATTTGTGAATTTGTGCAGAACGTAAATTCTCTGAAGTACAGCCCTATCCGCTATCCCCTAGCTCCTCTACACTTCTGCAGTAGCGATTGAAGAGGATAGAAAACAGTGCAGTATATGGTGAGAGCTAATGACTTGGCAGTGAGTGAATGAGTGAAATCAGTAACATTTACTTCTTACTCATGCATATCGTTCATCAACACCACTCTGCTCGGTCGTTGGAATGAATGTGCTATCTGTTTCAGCTACTGCATGTTTCACGTTTACCACGAGTAGTCTCTACCATCAATGCACATCAGTGGATGCTTTTTATATACAGTAGCACTCAAATTCACACTCCACTCCTTGCACTTTTTCACTCTCACCTCACATCTTGTTGCATCTCACGTTACTTTTACTTGTGTAATTTAAACGCTATATTTTTCCTTCCAATTCTTTCATTCTTATATGACGTAATTTTGGACATCATTTATTTTTATGTTCATATATTTTTGGTAGTCATACGTATGTTAATTTTCTTAGTAGTAACATTGCCCTTCTAAATAAGTAATATTGATAGACTTTTTAGAGCAATGTCTTTTCTAATACAATTTCTACAGTTTCAACACTTTCTATACTTAATATATTCATTAAAAGTATGCATGTAATTGTTTTGTCTTTTGTAATATTGTTGTGCAGAAAATTTTTAACCAGCAAAGATTCTGTAATGAGTGAAGATGAAAACATTGTAGCATCGAAGAACTATATGGCCGAGAATACTGTACTAGTACAAAACGATGCAGTAGATGGAAATGTAACGTTGGCAAAGAACGACATTAGTGAAAGTACTGTTGTATCGGAGAATGATGAAACAAAAAATATCACTAGTGCAGAAACTCAAGTGCCAACAAATAATTGTACAGCTACCGAAAATTCCGTGCCTTCAGACGTAAAAAAAACATCGGATACTATTTCCGGAGAAGAAAAACCGGATTCCGGAAACTTGTTAGTAGATGCTGTAAATGAAAAATTTGATTCTCAAAATGAAAATACAATAGAAGTATCAAACAGTGTGAGGTAAGATCATTGTGAATTTTTTAGTGAATGATGGAATACTGTTAAGTATAATTTGCAAATTTAGGAAAGTATTTGTTGGCGGAATTCCAAGGGATGCAACAAGTAATGAGTTGGCAGAAATCTTCTCACAGTTTGGTTTAGTGGAACAAGTTGAAATAAAATATGATTCACGCAGAAATCGTTCACGTAACTTTGCTTTCGTCACATTTGCTGAAATTAATTCTTATACAAAAGCTATAACACAAGCATCATTGATTTTCAAAGGAAAACATATTGATATTAAGCAGGCAAAATCACGTGAAGATCGGAAAATATTCGTTGGTGGTATACCAATTGGTCTTAATAGTTAGTATTACTTTACTCTTGTTCTGTTCATTACGTTAATTCATAAATTTAATTAATTATGTAAAAAATTTTTTAATCATTTATTCAGATTTTTAATTGACTGTCCTTTATCAATAGAAAAGAGATTATTTTTAAAATTTTGTGAAGATTTTTTGTAAACCAAATCCGAGTTTATTTTCTTATAATATGAAATGAGTGATTTAAAGCCTTTTTTTTTTACAGAAGACCATCTTCTTGCGCATTTTCAAAAATTTGGTGAAATTGAACATATTGAATGGCCCATTAATAGATCAACAAATACTCCAAGATCTTACGCATTTATCGTATTCGCAACTCAACAAGCAGCTAATCAAGCATTATGTCAGCAAAAACAAGTTATTGAATTTCGAGAGGTTAGCAACTTTGATTTTACAGGGTTTTTTTGTTTTTTTTCTCACTTAATTTATCAAGATTACTTTGGTTTTGGTTAGCGTAGAAAATACAAATTAAGTTTGATTATAAACATACTAAATTTTTAGTGTAGCGTTAAGAAAGCATTGCCCAAGAATTCTCAATATCAGAATTCTCAATCATTTAAAAATCTAGCAGTGATGCCATTTTCTTCTACGTCCAGAATATCTGAAAACCCAAATATTTGGAATTTACGTGATGCATTTGTTCCGAATATATGGAATTGTAATAATTATTATTTGCAATCACAGATAGGAAGTAATTGGCGGTAGAATGTGGACCTACGAAAGTTGATTTTGAGCAACAAATAATACTTTTAGATTCTGATTCATAAGTTTCACAGCATTAAGAAATTGTGCAAAATATGAATCAATCATCAATCAAATCAATCCTTATTTGTTGCTCAAATCCTTTTACCGAATCAACTTACCTTAGCATCATGAAGGTTGGAAATCAATAGATTACAAAAATACTTTTATATCATTTTGATGCTGCTTTTTTCGATAAAGAATTGCAATCAAATAAATTAGTCACGTAAGATGTTTTGCTTCTGTTTTTCACTATCAGTGTTTTCTGATCTTGATAATCTTGTTGCGTCATAAGAAATTCTCATCCAAATTTATTTAGTGCAAAAAATTTTGCATATTTCTCTTCTTTATCGCTTTACATATCCATCAGATCCACATTGAAATATCTTGTCCCATTCATGATTTTGCGGTGACTAAACAATTTTAATTTTAATTTTTAAACAATTCATAAAATATCTAACCTTCAGATATGCGTGAAATGCGTGTAGTAAAGAAAGAATGTCTTGAAAGTAAGTGTAAGGCAAGATTTTTCTCAAGATTCAAGTGTTAGAATAGGTATTAGGTTTATCACTAATCATCTGATAAAACAATTTTTTATCTAATGCTATATTTTAGCAGTGCAGTATTAATATTAGAGCATCTTTAACATAAAATCAACAGAAAAATCATTATTTATTACTAACTCAAATTATCTTAAAAAAAGCTTTCTTAAAATTAAATAATCTTATAATTGATTTTAATCTTCAAATTAACTGCTTTTAAAATCAACTTGGATTTCAGACATTATTTTTCAAAAATATTAATATTTTTTGCTGTTACACATTTTATGTTTAAAAAAGTGGATGGATAATTCAGTTCTTTCAAACTTTGATCAAAACTTACTCCTTCTTGATCTACTTTTTAGAGTAGTTTTGTAATTTGCATTCTCAATACTTACTCATAACATTATCAGCTTAACAAGTTAGGCTAAAGAATTTGACGATTATCATTGGGGAAGTTGATTTTAACAAAGTTATCTTTGAAGATTTAAACCATTTATAAGATTTGCCAATTTTTTAAACTCACTTTTGTTACTTTTTGGATAATTAACTTCTTTTTCATTAGTGATAAATAATTTTTTTCATTAATTACTGTATGTCAAGGGTCATTAGCAAACATAACTCTACGAGACGACGCCCCATATTGTCATTTCCAAGTTAGAAATATATTTGGAACCAAAAATGAATGTGCCTTTATTTTTGCCTGAAAAGGTCATACTTTATTTTTAGAAAAGGTCATTCTTGTGCCTTTATTTTTAGCTGAAAAGGTCATCATTGTTAAGAATGGATTGTCTAAGAAATTGAACTAGTCTTAAGGCAGTAGGTCCTAAGTACGCGTTATAAGCCTTCTCCTGCTTTAGAATCGCATCCTTCCAGTAGAAATGAGTGTGGTTTCTGCAATCACATTATGAATGTATGAGCACAAACTCACTCCTGTATTCATTGCTACGAAACTCACGCTTTACCTTGTCCCTTAAATTTGCTAAATTCTGTGTAGCCCGCGTCCTCCCTCGTCCCTTAGCAGTACAGTCTTTCTAAACATGCAGATTAATAGACTGTTGTTCAAGCATAGTATCAGTTGACAAATTTGCTTAAATTTATAGATAGTTTATTCAATAATTACTCTATTATTTTAATAAAGTTATTTCTAAATAGACTTTTTTTGCACTAATTAAAATTATTTTTATGGCATTAAAAAGAATTTTACTAAGCAGAAACCCCAATATCATGAAATCTTTCATGACGTAAATTGATATTACACGGTTTGGAACTATTGTCAAATTATATTTATAACTTTGCTGCAAATTCTTGGGAGCAGTCATGGAACCATCTTTCGAAGTACTTCCATGAGTTAGAACTTTGAATTTAACCTGTGGAAACTGACTAAAACAATACCGGATGGGTCTTCTTTCTTAATATTTGTTATTTATGCAAGGAATTCATAGCGATTTATGATTAAGGATTAAAATTTCCTGTTAGGAAGTGAACAATTTGGAGCAGTGGAATACGTGCTTATGACGTCCGTCCATTGTCTTTTTATCCATTTTGATAAGTGAATATGATTTAATAATCCGTTTACTACATATCTTTTGATTTATCATATCCAAACATGAGTATGTCATATCTTCTTAGCTGTCTTGCATGTTTTTGATAATCTGTTAACCCTCTACTTACTTATTTTGGTTTTTCTATATAGTGATTATTTCAATACAATAATTATTTCAAACACAGTTATTGTTACACTGTATATTTTATGCTTTATATTCGTTATCTGATTATAAAATATTGACCGAAACTGTGAACTGTGTGAAACAATTAATTATTGGTAATTGTGAACGAAAGAATAAAGTTTGGTTTGCTACAGTAATTATAATATTTCCATACCCTAATTACAGTAACAATGATGATTACAACAGGACATGATTCGTTTTGTAATTATACTTTCTGTCTCAAAATAATATAAAGTACCTTGTCAAGCAGATCATTTTTTGGAAGATTCTAGACCTATTAAACTATGAAGAATATCGATACGTGAAGCAGTTATACTTCATAACATTATTATATTTAATCAGTTTAAGTAAGCATATTTGTTTCTTAAAATACTTTCAAGACTAAATAAAATTTGCATAAAATTCAAAATAAAATTTGGTAAATTTGCAATTTGTGATTTGTTTATTTTGTTGAAATGCATAATTTTTCAGATTATTTCTCGTATATTTCAAATTAGACATTTTGTGAATAAATGCAAATTTTAAATATGCAGTAAATTATAAGTAGCGAAATGCAATGATTTTTTATTACAATTATTGCTGAAATTTTGCTGACGAAAAGAAAACAAATATGTTGCAATGTTTGGAATAAAATTACTTCGCTAATTCAAGTTTTCTAAAGTTTTCTCTAAGATTTTTGATTTTTTTTTCAAAATTTCAAAGTTTTTAAAATTTATTACTTCTTCAAACTTTGCAGATCCTTGTTGACAAAATAAGTCTTATCAAAATATATTTAAAGTTTGATATTTTTTTTTGTAAAAGAAATGATCAATTATAAAAAAATTGAATAAAGAAATTTTTAATTTTTTTTATCAAATACAAAAATATTAATTGCATATTTATTTTATGATAAGAAATCTATTCTCATGTTTTGCAATTTGTTGTTGTTTATTTTGATTGAAGGTCAAGAGGTCAAATTAAAATGCAATATTTAAGTGTACGCTTTTAAGTGTTTGGGACCGGTTTTTGTATAATACATCATTTTGATTAAATTAAATGCCCATTTTTTAAAAATTTTGATATATGTAGGCATTCGAAATTATTGTCTTAAAGCAAGTTATTAAATCCATGTGTTCCCAGGTAAGAAGTTTAAACAAAGCATGAATAACGTCTTTATTGAAATCGCTGTCTTTTTTTCATATTATCCATCACAGGTTTTTTTTGTTTAGCTCATCACTTACCAAAATGGATTATTGTAGTGGGAAATTCTTCAAATACCCAAACTAAAACTTTAAAATACAGTACCAGCCAAAAAGCATTACTAGTGCCATGAATTCAAAAAGTACCATTTAACTTGATCAAAACCCAACCAGTGACAGTGATTTCGGCAAGATTATCAACATTGAATAATTACTACAAAAATTATAAATATGTTAAAAAACAAGAAAAAAGTAGGATTAGTTTTTAATGAACACAATTACGCACTTAGAATAATTCTATCCAAAATATTATTGGATGCAGAAATTTGATAAATAAAAGATTAAAATATATGTAACATTGTTAGCTAGCTGCTCGAAATAGGTAGTGATTTACTATTTTAGAAATTAGATCGTAATCTTAATTGTTCTTCAAAACAATTTGAGCTTTGATATTAGCAACACTGAGTTCTTTTTGTGAATCGTTTTGACTCACAGAGTGGTTAACTCTTTTATGACTACCGTATTTACTTGTTAAGATTTATAACGGATTCTTGAACTGATGTTTCTTCTTCGGTGACTGTTGTTGTTGCTACTGTTGTAGTTCTGCTTGCTAATTCAGAGTTTGAGCCACAAGTCTAAAATTCCACTTAGTTAGTACCGAGTTTTTGAATTGCTTAACAATAATTATGCAGTAATGAACAAATCAAAATCGAGTTTATCAAAATTTTTATAAATCACATAATGGATGTATACTTACTTCTGCCAAAGGGATTGTACACACCAATAAAATGAGAATAGCATAAAGATACATTTTATTAAAAGCCATCCTAAAAGTAAATACTTTATATTCATTTAATTACAGCTCAAATTTTACCAAAGTTCACTGAAGTTAGCTTAATTTAAAAGATGGGTGAAAGAGTAAATTGTTAAAATTAACCAAAAAAGTTAAGGTTAAAGTTGACTCTAACATATCGAGGTCAAAAGTAATAGAAAAAAAATTGAAATTCAGAGTTACATAGTTTTCTTCGTAATAAAATGTAATTGCACACAAAATTTTAATTGAACGAACACGTAAACTAAAAAATATTAGTTGTAATTGATGAAGATCATAATTTTGTCTCTCATAAACGTAATACATTAATTCAATTCGTTAATTGAATTGAATTTATTAAACTGAAAACTGGAGATAACAAGTTTAAGCAACTAATGACAGCACTATTTTACAAGGTTTATATTTTATATATAAGGTAGCAGACCGATGCGAAATCTTAGTGATTCTTAACGGATTGCTTTATTTATACAGCGAATGACAGCATTTTATGCAAGCGGTTGTTCTGATTCACAGAACAAAGCAGATAATTCTTGATTAGAGATTAGAATATACCAAATTTCTCAACGATGGTAATTAATAACTAAATAACTACACCTCTCAATACCTGTTAATAAGTCATTTCCGTGATGAAAAGAATAGACAAGTTAAAAACGTATAATTATTATTTATCCTGATGACGATATAA